TGATTTGCTTGCTTTAAAACGTGATCAACAGACCTAACTTTTACTATATCACTTGCAATAAGATTTAATGCATGAGCAATGCATCTGATATTCCAAATATGTGAATAATTATATGTAGTAATTTCACGAGCAACATGGATATTACTTCCATTATCTGTTACACATGCTATAAATTTACTGGAGCCAATTTTATCAACAACATTGAAAATTTTAGAGGTGAGAAATTCACCTATCTGTGCTATATCAGAAAAATCCAAAATTGAGTACAAATATTCTTTACGATTAGAAGTAGAGACAATAAAATTATATAATGAGTTATTGGCAGAGGTCAACCATCCATCAAGTGCTATTAAAAATATATATTATTATAAAATTTATAAATACAAAAAAATGTTTATATTTTTAAACTTTTTACTTAAAGTTAAGTTTTCTGCTTTGTTAAGTAAACTATCCATTCGTATTGTTATGCGGGCTGCCTCCTCATTAAGTATTCGTTCTGATAATGTAACCCTTCTAGGAGAAACCCAACCCGGCTCAAGTAGATGAAGAAGATCACGAACAAATGGATTATCAATTACAGAGAATGCAATTCTTGCGCAAACAAAAGCTTTAAGTAAAGCTTTATTAATTTCATTAACTTTTTCACTTGATATAGGTTTACAATATGAACATAGCTTTGTTGATAATAATAATGTACTTTCATTATCACTATCATCATTTATTTTATCATTTTGCTTTGCTACTTTAATTAAATAATGACATTTTAAATTATCAGGAATATCACCTTTGCAATGTAGGGCTAAATGGGACTCCATAGTTGCAGACCTTCCACATTTCCATTTTCCTTGAACACAGTACTGACATTGAGCACCATAGTGACCTTTACCATCGGATTTACCAGTATCAAAGTCTTTCCAAACGGGATTTTTTGGTCATCCACCCTTATTTACTAAAACTCTTCGAAGACGTGTTTCGTCTGCTTTCCGTTTGCCAAGTGTTTTACTAGATTGTGATGTTTCAGACACACTTTCAGGAAAG